CATCTGCAATGACCCTATTTCCGAATAACGTCACATTCTGAGGTATAGGGGTTAGGCCTTCAGATGAATTTTGGAGGGACACAATTCAACCCATAATACCCACTGGGACTCTGATAGATATTTCCTATCCATCATCGCTCTCTTTCACATTTCCCTATTTTATTTTCTTACAGCCCTAACCGTTATTTGATAGTATTTGATTTATTTGTTTATATGTGTGTATATTTACTTTCCGATTTTCTTTCTCCCTCCATAGAATATAAGCTTCATGATGGCAAGCTATTGTTTATCTTGTCTTTTGCTGTAACTGTATAGTATCTGACACATAGTAGGAGATCAATAAATAATTATTGAGTAAATGAATAAATGGCAATATCTAAAGTTTGGTTTAGAATCTTAAACTGCTATAGATTCTAGTTATTATTGCGTATAAATTATAATACTCATGTGCTACTGTAACATCTCTGTCATCCATAAAAGAATTCTATACATGTGTTTTAGGAAGCAGCTTCATGAAGAATGAGGGCATTTGGTTGTTTTTGTCCCAGATCTCCATTTACTCCTGGTGTCATATTAAGGAAATCTTGTAATCTCTCTGAGCCTGAATTTCCCCAAATGGGAAAAATGTTTTCTGTCCCTTATATCAGAAGGCTTTTTTAAAAGTAATTATGGATCCAAACATGCTTTGTAGAATATGAAGAGAGAATTATAAGCGAACATCATCATTATGTCCTTAAAGATGTTAAGAAGAATTCAAAGAAAAAATAGCTAGCTAGTCAAATAAATTCAGACAATATCAGGTTAAAAGAAAATTTCTTTACCTCAGTAATTCTCAGAACTTTTAATATTTCGATGTACATTTAGGTTTTCCATAAGAGAATATCAAATATGTTTTTTCCAAACTTATCTGACCATGCAACATTTTTTATTCAAACGATCTCATAGGATTAGAGGTTGAGAAATAATGAATTAGGGACTCTGTCTAAGCCAGACAAGTCAACGTCGTTTCAAAGGGATGGTAGACTTTTAAACCAACACTAGAAAGAGAAAAGAATTTGCTAGCTCTAGGTGCAAGCAGATTGTTGGCAATGTTTTCTAGCTTGAAAGCAATACAATTCAGCATTAGTCCTCAGCAGAGAATAGGATAACAGTGGCTCCACAGGTAAGTCACTCCTCTTACAATAAGTATTAGAGCACTTTTGAATCCTGCTCTTACCATCCTGGGCATAAAGTTAAAATTATGAACTTTCATCTTTTTCTTCATCACAGTATCTACCAGAAAACAGAGGAAAGCATCCAAAACGTGACTCACTAGTAGTACTCTGCAGTGTGTGCATCTGTGTGTCCACGATGACGGGCACCAGTCCATGTAGATGCATGTATACTCCTCTTACTGTGGGTGAGAAATCAAGGTCAATGGAATACAAAATGTCATTTCCTGCTACTAAGGAAGTTTTATCTAAGCTGTGGTTTTAGAGTTCCTCCTTCTGCTCACTAACAAAAATAGAGCTACCAAGTTTATGAGTCGGTAGAACCACACAGAAAACCATAATCCAGCCCCCTCGTTATAGAGATGAGGAAATCAAGGCCCAGATGATGAAGTGAATCATTTAATATTGCTAGAGCTCTTTGTGTTACCACAGAGATGATCATCCAGGAAGGCAGACAATCCTGTCCTGACTTGCCTGGACAAAGCTCTCCCAAGGTGCTGCAACTTATCCAACTTTAAAGACTCTGGATTCCTTACTAGCTTGGATTCTAAAATTTCATTTGGAAGGTTGCATCCTAAAGACCAGCTAATTTTTCCTTCTAACTGCCAGGGGAGAACTATCTTAAGAGACAGCAAAATAACCCCTAGAAACAACTAGAGTCTGCTCATCTCCTCAGGCCTTAAATACCATCTGGGACCTCGGCCTACACCAGCCCAAGGAGAGTCCATCCAACCTCATTGCTCATCCTTGTATTCAATGTCACTTATCCTTCTCACAGCCTCTTATCCCCAGACTACTCTGGGATTCTTTCCCCTGATCTTCCTTCCATCAAAGATATCCTATTCAATGGTTTCCCATTGACAAACATTTCTCAAGCACCTATTATATGCCAGGTATCCTGCTAGAAGCTGGAGATACCAAGACAACATTTCTTCACTCAAGGAGTTAACGGTCTGGTGAGAGAGAATATAAAGAGATAATTCTTTTACAAGATGTTAAGTGCTAGAGTAGAAAAGGTTAGGACTAAGCTTTTCCCCTCACACAAGACCATTTGGGTTAAGATATTGAACACATAGTCCTTAGCATTTCTCTCATCCCTTTCAACTTTTCCATCCCTTCTGCTTCTGCCTTGCTTCCAGACTTTATCATCTCTTGACTGAGCGAGTGCAACACCTTCTTAACTTTCTGCTTCCTGTCTCACCTTTGCCAACCTAACTTTCATTCTTCTACCAGAATGATTGTTTAAAAAAATTGAAATCACCATGTCTGGAACATAGTAGAAACAGAATAAATATTTATTGGGTAAATAATGTTACTTCCTTGCTTAACATCACTCAGTAAATTCCTAATTCATACAGAGATGCTTGCAAAACATTCCCACTGATTTATCCCTAATGAGGAGGGGAATGAAAACGTATGTCCACCCTGAAGGTAGTATTCATAAAAATGCACAAATCTAAGGTGTACAACTCCTTGTCATTTTACATTTGCATAAATACATGTGTCCAGATATAGAACATTTTCATTTCACCCCAGAAAGTTTTCTCATGCCCCTTCTCAAGTCAATCCTCCTTCCTAGAATTAACCAATATTCTGTCTTCAGTGACTATAGAGTCACACTGTCTGTTCTTCAGCTTCATGTGTTCCATGGAATCATACGTTATGTGCTGCCATTGACTGGAGCATCACGACTTTGTATCCCGTCACCTTTCCTAGAGCATCTCAGATGGAAGTTTCCATCCCCAAACTCCAAGACACCCAGTGGCCACTTTCAGGACCCCACACTCCACACTGATTTCTTTGCTGTCGCCAAAACCTATTTCCTATACATATCAACTAGAAAGAGACAGAAAAACAAATTCTCATTAAAGGAAGGAAGATATAGATAATACATATCAAGGAAAATACTCTCATGATTAATACAATTGATACTTAAGAGTTTATATTTGTAGAAACATATGTTTGTGGATTGACTAATCAGATAATATCCCCTTGATGCAAGGAAATAATTTTCTAATAGTCCATTCAGGGCCAAAGACAAACTTGTAATGAAGATATGTGAGCAAAAGAAAAACATCCAGAAGGAATGGGAGAAAAAGTAGCATTAATTGAGAGCTTATTATGGTCTAGACACAGTGCTAGCTAAGTACTGGGGATTTGAATATGAAAATGCCACACTATAGTTCTAAATTGGTGTTTCTTTTCTAGAAAATGATTTGCTAATATGTATCAAATATTTTGATACATTTCTTTGTCTTTGTCCCAGTAATTCCATTTCTACGGATTTATCCTAAAGACATATTCAAACACAAACAAAAATATAATGAGAAATACCCAAACATGCAAGAATTATCAAATAAATTATAGTAAGTCCATTGACTTACTATATTGATATTACAGAATATTACAGAACCTTTAAACCTATATTCTTGAGGAATATTTAATGACAAAATTAAAACTCAAAATATGAAGTTAAGTTTGTTTTTTTTTTAAAGCTGGCTACAAATCTATAGCTACGGTGTGATATAAATTATTTACGTGTGTGTGTATATATATATATGAACACATTTACTAATAGCACATAAGTACTAATTCACATGCACACACACACACATTGATTTACATTTCCTTGCACTGTGACTAAAAGTGCGTATTTCAGAATACCCTTTGTCAATAATAATCTATTTTTTCATCTTTGCCAACTTGATAGGCCAAAATATAATGTTATTTTCATTTGGATTTTTAGATACTAATAAAATTATTTTGCAAATCTTTGATTCAGTATTAATGAGGTTATGAGGGAAAAAAGTACTCATGCTCTGCTGGTGGTAGGAAAGTTGATAATTACTTTCCGGGGCAATTTTTTAGTATCTATTAAAATGTTAAGTGAACACACCATGACAAGCAATTCCATTTTGCAAGATCTGTCTTAGACAAACAACTTGCATAGGTGTCCAAGGACGTACATACACATTGTAACACTGTTGGTCATAAAAAAACAAAAAGAGCCTATGTCCTCATCAGCAAGGTAATGGCTATGTAGACTATGTTACATCCATACCAGAAATTATATAGCACTGAAAAATAATGAAGTAGTTTTAAAGAATGACATAGAAATATTTTCAACATATTTTTGAGTGAAATACAAGGGGAAAAATGTAGAGTATGATACGATTTTTGCAAAAATAATTTTAAAAAAGCAATATTACGCATATTCCCAAGTTACAAGTGTATTATGAAAATGCACTGAATAAAAATGATATCCAACATATGGATAATGTGGTTACATTTGGGGAAGACACTGGATTTGGTGGGAACAGGGTCAAAGGGGATTTTAATATTCTTAGTATTTTGTTTCAGGAAAAATGTATTAATTTGGAATTATATATTAATTTAGGAATAAATATTATTTTTAAAAATCAAATTGCTTTCTGAATGTACCAAATTCCTCTGTGAAGATTGTATGGTATTTTTTTAAAAATCAAGATCAAGCACTTTATAGAATGAACAGATAGTATGCCCCTATGGCCAAGTATTTGTGAACTAACCAATCTGTAGCATAGTGAACACAGAAACCTTTAGCCAAATTTACAGTTCATCAGTTTAACTGTTGACTTAATCTTATAATGTTAATGTCGTGAGTGAGGTGACTAAGTTCCATAGAGATTAGAGTGTTCAGGTGAAAAATTTTGCTGTTTACTTGGGCAATTTTTACTGTTTAAACCGTTTGGAATCTAGTGGATCAGAGACTGGCCTTGATTGTTTCAGTTATAACGAACTTCTTTACATCAGAAATGTTACTTGTGATCCTTTAAAGAAGCTCAGATCTAGAAAATTCCCACAATACCTTGATGAAGAAGGCAAGTAGGTCATGAATAACTGAAATGTTATGTTTTAGTCAATCTGACAATTTCTTTCTCTTCATTTTAATAAGTATTAACTATTGTTAACAATCATATAATGCTTTTCCTTAAAAATATGATTTATAAATACCAATACAATCATTGCAAATATGATCATTTGCAACGAAAGCATTAGTTTATGAAGAAGCATAAATAAAGATTTTCCTTTTGGCTAATAGTTAAAAGGATTTTTAACAGAATATTGTTCTAGAAACATCATCTGTCTAACTTCACATTTTTGCATAAAACAATTATAATTCAGGAAAAAAAGGAAAGGTGGGGATGATATTTAGTAATAAGAAGACACCTAAACTTAAAATATTCTGGAACTAGGAGAAGTTTTATGGTGAATTTTCGATAAAGACAGGTATCTTATTTTTCCTTCTTCACAAAATAAATTTATTTATATTTTCTTAATGAAATAAGTGAAATTTAACCAGTCATTTCCCTTTTTATAACAGCTAACATAAATGTGTAACTTTATTATTTCCCCAGGAAAGATTTAATGGTGGGATGTGTCTTTCCTTCATCTTCTTTTTTGGCTAGAAATCTAAGAATGAGAAGTATCGTCTTCGGTGGTGTTTTTATCTTATTCTGCCTCGTAGGTGGTAAGTCGTTAAGAAAGCATAAATCAAAAAGAGGGAAATTACTTAAGAAATTGCAGAATTACAATATAAGTGGAGAGTGGTCTTAAATAAGGTACGTAATTAAGGTGCTTATAACAAGGCCTGAGTAAGCACTTAGATAATAAGAGCTAACATTTATTGAGTACTTATCATATACCAGGTACCGGTGTAAACTTTTCATTTGTATTAATTCAGTGAATCCTCATGACAACGCTACAAGTAATGCTGTTATTTACCATTTTATAGATGAGAAAACTGAGCTGGTAGCTGGTGGCCCACATGTTGCTATTAGTGTCACTAAGTTGGAACTAATCAAATTAGGCTGAAAGCCCTTATAAATATAGCAAAGAAAGTGAATTAATTAGAACAAAAGTATAGATAGGGGCCTACTAGCACTTTTCCTGTCATGTGTGCCGTTCTCCACTACCACTCGATCCAACATTCCTTCATTTACAAAAGAACTACTCAAAGGAGATAACAGAGAGTTTTCAAGTCCTTTTACAGAATTCTTAAGGCCCCTCAAACTAGGTGGATGTTCAGGATGGCAGTATCTCCAACAGGCACATTCAAGCACCACCAAGGGAACTCTCCCTCTCAGTGAAATGGTGAGATGGTAATGGAGACAGCTGCTCTAGGCTGAACCCAGGGGTTAACAGGGCAGGGTCTCCTAGAGTCAGGAGATTTAAGGTACATGAGTTGACTGGGGATCTACTTAAGATGCAGCTTCTGATTCTGCAGGTTTGGGGTGGGGCCTGAGAGTGTGCATTTCCAAAAATCTTCCAAGCGATGCTGATGCTGTTGGTCTGGAGACCACACTTCAGTAGGAAGACTTCTATGAGGCATCCCAGAGATAAATAAAATTCTATTATTGGGACTTAGAGACTTTTCTTACCAAATAGTGGGGTCACCAACTCAAATGCCTAAAGTTTTTGACCAGATAACATAAATGGGGGAAGCCAGCCAGCAATAAATCAAGGGGGGCAGCTGATACCCAGTTACAGATGTTTGCTGCCGTGGAGAAAGGAGAGCCCAACATTGCCAAATCTTCTGATTCTTCAAGAGAAGCCAGAAATTCGTTTGTAGGAAAATTCTCCCAACTTTTAAATGTTGACAACTAATATAATTTTTGAAAGCTCTCTGCAAGTTAAACAAACCAGAACTGGCCCCCTGACCACCGTTTGCAGCCTCTGCTTCCCACACTACCCTCATTGCTAAATACGGCACACAATAGAGTTCTGATTACCCGTTGCAGAGAAGGCAGCAAGAAATGAGAAACGCAAACTGCACAGGTGGGATCTCTGCTGCGTTTTAAGTCCTTACACTTCTCTGAAGCTCCCTGGTAGTCTAGTGCTGGGGAGTAAGTCCTTACACTTCTCTCCAGTAGAGAATGTGGAGGGGAGTATACGAATAGGTGAAAAATCACAAGAGAACATCTTCAGTGTCTAGGCTATCATGAAAAAATGATTCAGGGAGGGGCCTGCATTAATTTTGTTGGACACGCAAGAAAGATGTGAGGGTAAAAGAAGAAAATTCAGTATAAAGAGAAGTTTTGAAGTAAGGCATGCCCATGATGTAAGAGGTGGTTATTAAAAAAAGATCACCATCATCATGATTTATAATATTTGTTTAAATAACTATATATATGATTTATAATATGCAGTTAAGTAATTATGTATATAATCTGTTGGATGTTCCCCAGTAATAAATAGTCATAAAATAGAATAGCGTACTTCAGAATTAATCATGTAAGAGAACTATTCATTTTACATACAACCTGAAGCTTTAAATTTGGTTGTCAAATCGGAATATATCATGTGTTAGTTATATTAATAAAACCAACAACAAATTTTCAGACAAAAAGAGACTGGAAGAAATGAAATGGGATCCATGAACATACTTATAAGTACTCAGGCAATTAAACACTACAGTCAGCAAAAAGCCTCAAAGTTAAGGCATCATCTTCAGTCGTAGTAAAGAATGTCAGAGCCAAGGTTTTACGCAGAAGGCTATGGATATTGGGTGTGGAATCAGAAGGAGTAGGGACCATCTGAGAGGGAGAGAAAGAAGCTAGAGCAGATCTCACCCAGGAAAACAGTCCAGGGGCCTTAGGCAAGGCAGAGAAAGATCTGGTCTCATGTAAGCTCTTCACTTACCACTGGCACCAAAGGTCTGAGCCATGCAGTGGATCTCTAAGGGCAAGTTGCAAGACTGAGAAACATAAGTCCAGGAGGAAAACTCACTCAGGGGTGACTTGAAGAAACAAGCAGCCGTAGTATTCGGTAGGCAACTGACCCTGAATCTAGGACGAGTCCAAATCTGCAGCAAGAAGAGGGCAACATCAGAAGGTTTGGGATACGCAAAAGGTAGGCAGCTCCAGTGACATGGTGAACGAGGGCATACCAAGGTCTGGATACCCACAGACCTTTTCAGACTCCTGTCTCTGCCACTTGAGCAAGCTGCTTAAAATCTTGATGCCTCAGTTTTCTTTATGTGAAATGTGGACAACTATAATACCTGCCTCAAAGGTTTATTGTGGGAAATTATTGGGCTAATGCATGTAAATTGCCTAGCAGAGTCCTTGGCATAAGCTGAATTCTTAAAACATATTTGTTGATTGATCATTGATTATGGATTGAAAGTCTGTCACACTCAGTAATAGAACCAATGTGAAATTTCCAAAGTGTCTTTAGATGAGGTTGAATCTGGGGAGAATAGTCAACAGAGGTTAATTAGCCTCATCAGCCAGACTATTATCTATTAAAAGGGATCTCTTCTAACCTTCAATGTGGCAGAGGGAGATATAAAATACATTGCACAAAATGTCTAGTAAACTCTTCTTTGGGGTTACCAGTGCATAGGAGTGACATGGCAATCATCTTCATCTATTAAAAGATGGGAAGTATGAACACTAAGACAAATTGTGGCTGAATTTCAGATAATCTTTTAACAATCTGAGCTGTTTTTAGTAGTGATGACCTCTCCATCACTAGCCCAGGCTCCCTGCAGGAGTTATCATAAAGGGGATTCCTAAATTCCAGAGAACCACTGATTCAAAAACTGGTCCAGATATCTGTAACCAAATCACATGCCCTCTGCTGTTTCTGCAAATCTAAAATATCAATTCTTGGGCCCCACCACCTACAGATTCTAACTCAAGTCTGTGGGTTGGGGGTGGGGGAGGGTGGGGAGGGCCCTCCAGGAATCCATGTTTGTTTTAACTGCTTAAGTAAATCTGATGCAGAGTCAAATTTGGAAACAGATCTTCTAGATAACATCTTCCAATCTTATCTATGTTGACGAAGTTCATGAATCTCTGGGCTATTTTTACATAACCAAAATGAATAACACTTTGAACCACTGAATTTGACTTTGAAGATAACCAATATGTAAACATTAACCCAGCAAAAGATATTCAGAAAACCTACTATATATAATGTGCTACTTTAGACATTGAAATGAAGGCCTAATAGAGAATATATGGCTGAAATTAAATTTTCTGGCTAAAAAACTGTGTTTTGATTTAATTAAGCACTGAGGAACTGAATAAATTTTAACCAGCTAACTTGTTTGGACCACCTGGCCTCACTTCTAATTAGTATCAGTTCAGGGTGCTTCCAATCCACGAATGTAACATATGCTTTGAAATTTCAACCACTCTCAAAATAAAAATAATTTTAATTTATGTGAGTTTTAGAATTTTAAAAATAGTACTTACTTTTTAAAGTTGAAAATCACTGCTTTATTTTTGGGTCTCTCCCTCTTCCTCTTTTTTTCTCTCTCTGCCTCCATCTCTATTTTCCCCTTATTTTTTCTCTCCTGTACTTGGAGATGCTGGAGGGGTGATTTGCAGATTGTGCAACCTCTCCATCCCCTTCCATGGATGTCTTTTAGACTACGGAACCTGCGTAACAAAACCTGCTCAGTATTGTATAAAAGAGATCCACATTAAAGGTAAGTCTTCCCACTTAAAAATGAGCACAGGCAAAATCCTTATATAACAGCAAACCTTCGTGGAACATTTACTACATGCCAGATGCTATCCTAAGGGCTTTACCTGGATCACATTACACCAACAAAACCATAATGTGTGCTGGATCTCGTCGCTATCCCCATTTTAAAGATGAGAAGTCTGAGGTATAGAAAGATTAAGAAATTTGCATGATGTTACACAGCTAATAAGTGTTGGAGCCAAGATTTAAATGCAAGTACTTTCACTCCAGAGCGCACATTCCTAATGAATCTATATTCCCCCTCATTCACACCCCTCACATCCTCAGAAAAAATCAATACAAACTTTGCTGGGCCCTTCTAAGTGCAGAGCCCTGTGGAACTGCTCAGGTTGCATGCCCAAGAAGTCAGCCTTGTCTGCATGGATTAAAGAGTTTAAACGTAAAAATCCAAACGATGAAGACATCAGAAGAAAATATTGGAAAACATAATTTTATTTATTTATTTATTTTTTTGCTGAGGAAGATTTACCCTGAGCTAACATCTGTGGCCAATCTTCCTCTATTTTGTATGTGGGCCACTGCCACAGCACAGCTGACGAGAGGTAGGGGTCTGTGCCTTGGAACCAAACCTGGGCTGCCAAAGCAGAGTGTGCCTAAGTTAACCGTTAGGCCACTGGGCCAGCCCAGAAAACATATTTTAAGCTTGAAAAAGAGGAGGCTTCTTTAGTATCGAAAAGGCAAAAGTTGTAAAAAAATTGATAGATAAATTTGAATATATCGGGGGCCGGCCCATCGAATATATCGGGGGCCGGCCCAGTGGCGCAAGCGGTTAAGTGCGAGCGCTGCACTGCGGGGGCCTTGGGTTCGCCAGTTCGGATCCTGGCCGCGCACTGACGCACTGCTTGGCAAGCCATGCTGTGGCGACGTCCCATATAAAGTGGAGGAAGATGGGCACGGATGTTAGCCCAGGGCCAATCTTCCTCAGCAAAAAAAGAGGAATTAATTAAATTAATTAATAATTAATTAAATTAAATAATTAATAATTAAATTAAAAAATAAAATATTATAAATATATCAATATTTAGTCATCTAGTCAGCTTATAAAATGAATGATTACCCCAAAATTTAAAAAATAAAGAATAAACCGAGTGAAAATAGTTAGAATATAAATAACAGGAAAAAAAATATTAATATCTATCCAGGATAAATAAAGAATTTCTAAAAAGTAATTTTTAAAATGACCAACAGGGGCTGGCCCAGTGGCATAATGGTTAGGTTTGCGCACTCCACTTCAGTGGACCGGGGTTAGCAGGTTCAGATCTCAGGCACAGACCTACACACCACTCATCAAGCCATGCTGTGGCAGCATCCCACATACAAAATAGAGGAAGATGGGCACAGATGTTAGCTCAGGGCCAATCTTCCTCACCCAAAAAAAAAAAAAAAAAAGTGACCAATAATCGAAAAACAAAAAAACTTATTGAAGGAATATAAAGGCAACTTTCCAAAGAGGAAATATAGGCAGCCAGCCCTATGGCCGAGTGGTTAAAGTTCCACACGCTCTGCTTCGGCAGCCCAGGGTTCATGGTTCAGATCCCAGGTGTGGACCTACACCACTCATGAGCTATGCTGTGGCAGCAATCCATATACAAAATAGAGCAAGATTGGCACAGATGTTAGCTCAGGGCTAATCTTCCTCAAGCAAAAAAAGAGGAAGATTGGTGACAGCTGTTAGCTCAGGACAAATCTTCCTCAGCAAAAAGAAAAAAGAAAAAAAAGAAGAGGAAATATAAATCACCTAACCTAAAAACATAAAAAGTTGCTCAATCCATCAGTAAATATCAAAGAAATGCAAATTACAGAAATAATATAATATTTTTAACCCCTCAGATTGGTAAAAATTACAGAAGTTTTATAATATCAAGGGCTAGTGACAGTATTGGGGAAATGAGAGCGCTCACCCATTTCCAATGACAGTTTAGGTTGGTTCAGCATTTTTTCAGACAGTATGTTAATTTCTGTTAAAATTTTAAAGAGCACAGCCTTCGACAAAGTGATTCTATTTCTTGGTTTCTACTACAGAGAAGTGTTTACATGTATCACACGAAGGCATGTGTGAAAGTTCTCACTGCAGCATTATGTTTAATAGTAAAGTAACAGAAATGACCCATATGTCTGTCTATAGGCGACTGTTAAACTGTGATACATTCAGGCCATGGAACACTGCAACACTTAGAATGAACTAGATCCCTTTGTTAACATGGGAAAATCTATAAAACATCATTGAGCAGAAAAAAAGTCAATTACAAAGCAGTATGTATAGTATACCACTTATGAATAAAAATCTGCACAAAGCGAAACTCTAAATTTCTCTATGGAATGGGATGGGGAGAACAAACGTCAGAGGAGATCAAAGTTTGTCAGGAGAGAGGAAGAGAATTCGGGGATTGTGTCTGATGGAGTTTGGTATTAAGAGGGTTACTTGAGCTTTGTTCAACCTGTCTAGCCTCAGTCCCCTCTCTAAGCCCCAAGTTCCCCCTGACTTGCACCTCCGCCAGGCAGAGCCCCTTCCTGATTGAAGGGGAAAGGTGCCTGGAGCCATGAGATGTTGGCTCTCGGTCATTGCTCTTTTCGTCCTGAACGTGGACAGATAGTCATCTGGTCAGCTTGACGTCAAAACAAGTATCAAAGGGCTCTGCACATAAGAAAGAGCCTAGAAGCTTATATAGCAAAATTTTGACAGTAGTTCTTGGAAGGTTGAGGACCTAGAATGACTACAACATTGTGGGAAGAGCAGTTTCCTAACTTGTAAATGTTGCCATCTCACACCGATGTGAAACAAACAGGACTGGAACTTATGCTTTTGATAGTTTTGTCAACAGGGTTTCTCATCTTTAACACTATTGACACTTTGGCAGGATAATTCTTTGTCACGCAGCGCTATCTTGTGTATTGTAGGATAGTTAGCACATCCCTGGCGTCTATCCACTACACGCAGTAATATCTTCCAAGTTGTAACAACAAAAATGTCTCTGGGCATAATCTAACATCCTGGGAGTCGGGGAGCAAAACTGCCCCCAATTGAGAGACTACTGTTTTCTCAAGCTTCATCCGTTGTGCTGTCTCTGGGGACCTGCTCTTTTGTGTTCTCCCCCATACAACTGAAGCTGGGGATGGCAGGGTTACAGGACGTTACCATCACTTTGCACTTTTGTGTATTTTTCACATTTTTCTGCAGTGAACATGCATTACTTCTGGAATCAGGGGGGAAATTAAGTGAGGCCAAGGACACGCATCCATTTCTGAGAAGCACTTCCACATCTAATGATCCTTCTGTGGATTCCGCCCTTTGAATAATTCACGACCTGGGTAAAACTGGGGGATGATATTAGGAAGCTTCCGAACAGCTAACAGTTCAGAAAGTTCTACACAGTCAACGGCAATTGCATGGCCTTTATCATCTGATTTTGACAGCTTTTTTGTTTTACAATTTCCAAGTTTGTGTATTGCAGTGTACCCAACTAGAATGCTTTTAGGTGGGAGTTCTTAAAGGCAAGATGATTGTATCTCAATAACCCCAGAGTTTTTGCTTTGTCTGTGTTTTTTTAACCTGTTAGTTATCTGAAGCATCTGAGGCCAGGTAGGGTGCACCTCCCAAGGGATTCCTCTCCCTCTCCCTCTTCTGTTTCCTTCAGGTGGAATACAGTGGTATTCAGTTAAAGGCTGCACGGAGAGCCAAGATGAGTGTTTCAAGAGAATTATAAAACCTTATGAAATCCACACTACTCACTGCTGCCATCGTCCTTTGTGCAATTTCTGAGCCAGTGGCCCATATCCAAACTGCCTGACTGATCAGTCAATCTCAGAGCCTGACCTGGCCATCACAAGACGTCAGCTACCATCGGTCAGCCCTCTACAAAGACCTCAGACCTCTGCGGATGGCAGGAGTTACAGTCTGAAACCAATTTGGGCTTTCAAGGCGCCCAGCTTCTCCCCCACCACCTCCAACTCATCCTCTTCAACACCGTCTCTCTCCTCTCTTTCTGCTTAATGCCCCTTCCAGTGATTTCAGGGCTACAAAGAAGTAAAAATGCGAGTGATTCCCTGAGTCAAATTATGCACATCTTCTCTAGTTTACTAATTTTCCTAAATATTTCCATACTCCAAAGTACAGTTACAAATGAATTGTATCACAAGATACCAAGAGACCTGAAAGTGTTCACTTGTTTCCAAAGCAAACTGCCTGTTTGGAGTAACTTTTTGTACGTAAGAAAGTGATTTAACGAATACTGAGAAAAATAAACCAGGAATCAGCATGTGAGAACTATGAACCCAAAGGGCAGAGGGCTCAGGCAGGTGTGAAGGCTGGCACTTTTTTCTCCCATCTGCATTAGGATTTGTCCAAATTCTGAATTTCCGTACCTTAACCATGCCTAAGTGCTTTGGCTCATCTAATTCTGGCAGATTAAGCAATTCCATTGAAGCAGAGGAATCGGTTCCCATCCACAAGGAATTTAAAAGGATAATGAATATGCTTTGAACTGCATGTCACATTTTTTCATGTGCCACATTGTCAATTTTTCTCATTCGATGCCCTACTTTTGCAACTTTGAGGTTGTTGTGTTTTAAAATTTAAAGTTGTTTTTCTCTGTATTTTCAGGAGTTTGAGAAATCCAAATGATAAATAATAAATCTCAATAAAACCTTCTTTTATTGTCTTTTTCTCAGAACATAGGACAGCATCTCAAACGCAGTAGGCCCTCAACAAACGCTTTTCTATAAACTTTGAAAAAAAACAAGTACTAAAAAAAGGGGGCTGGCCTGGTGGCATAGTGAAGTTTGCATGCTCCACTTCAGTGGCCCGGGGTTCACAGGTTCGGATCCCTGGCATGGACCTACACACTGTTCATCAAGCCATGCTGTGGCGGCATCCCACATACAAAATAGAGGAAGATTGGCATAGATGTTAGCT